GCGGCACCTACTCAATTATAAAACATGAGCCGACATACGGGCGCAACGCGAACGCAACACAATGCGACGGCGGATAAGTAAATTTAAGAGTGATCAATCAATGTTTTCAACAGTTTTTAATGCATGCTGAGTGATTGATCTGTATGATTCAGACAAACTTCAGACTGGAAAATTGAGTAATACTTTTTCGTCTGCGGGAAGTTTGTAAATGTTATCAAGGAGGAAGTCTGCAGCGATATAATGACATATTGTGTATTTAGTGTGTAAAATGATATATGAGCTAATGTTGGCATAAAAGTGTTATTTATTGAGTGTTTTTATTAAAATACTAGCTTTTGCCCGCGACTTCATCCCGGTAGTGTTTAATAAAAATGTAATTCGTTTTTACTCTCTTGTTCTAGACATAGTATGTGACAATTCTATCAATAAGATTCGCAATTTTATTTTAAAGAAATTTATTATATAAAGAATTGCTAATAATGCACTCCAGGGCGCCATGTCGAATTCAACTATTTAACTATAACTATGATTGAATCTCAATGCCACTTTTATTCTATAGAAAAAGGCTGTCTTTAGGGTTTTTCCGGCTATTATTCAAAATTTTCTCGCCGTAAAAACCATCCTTGGACTTTAACACACATTTTAAAAAAAGAATTGTCCAAATTGGTCCAGGCGTTGTTGAGTTATGCGCTTACTAACAGACTTTGCGATATATTTTTATATTATAGATAACCTTTACACTAGGGTATTAAAAAATCTGATTACTATGGTCCCTACCTTTTAAATCTTTATTTTTGAAATCAGTTTTTTGGGTGTTTCAACCAAATTCTTAATTTTTTTTATCATATTACGCAGAACTGCCAGGTGAGATGTTAACAGTAAAAATTAACGCGTCTCTCTGTGTCGTGTCGTGTAGCGGGCATACTTGAGTGTCGTTATACCCGTTGTGTTTCGTTCATTTGTTCCGCCGGCACACATTACATTTCGTTAATTCAACGTGTACATTGCGTTGTCCCGTTGATAACAATGAATCTCGTGCGCATCGGGCTCGCGCGACACGAAAACCCCGCTTGTTCGGCGCGATGAGAAATTATTTACAAGTAAATTCGCCATAATTTACAGCCCGGTGTCGCGTGAAGTCGTACACTTTTTTTCAGTCTCTCAATTGCGGTAATTCTTGTTATTGTCTCTAACTCGCCGCTGTAGTAGGTGGTTTATGTGTTCGTTATCAGTCTGGGCGCACTCATTACGAGTGAAAATGACAAAAGGCGCACACACGTGAAAATTCAACACGAGCTCAAGTGTATTGTTTGTCGCACGATGTCCATTTCGTGCTCGTGCTGCTTCTCTATTGATGGTATCACGCACATTTTTAATAGTTGTTATTATCTGCTCTACGCCAATGCGATGATGAAAAAATGACTCATATTGTGACGGGTAATAAAGTACTACCTAAGTACCTATTTGGAAGTTGGAACGCTGTTTTCAGAGTGTATTTATATGCTAATCAAGCAGGTTGTTATTTAATTGATGGCATTCAAACGGTTTGTTTTTTTTATTTCCGCTTGGGAAATACATTGAGCACTTATGTTTAATGTCATAAAGATAAACTGATCATGCGAAATTAGAATAAAGGTTATCATTAAATTAAGTACCCACTCTGAATTATTCTTAATATTCATTTATCTATAATATAAAAATGAATCGCAAAATGTGTTGGTAAGCGCATAGCTCAACAACGACTAGGCCAATTTGGCCAATTCTTTTTTTTTAATGTTCGTTCAAGTCCAAGGATGGTTTTTACGGCGAGAAAAGTTCGAATAATTGCCGGGAAAGCCCTAAAGACAGCCCTTTTGTATAGGATAAAAGTTGGCATTGAGATTTAATCATAGTTGAATCCGAGAAGGCGCGCTGAAGTGCATTATTAGCAATTCTTTATATAATTAATTTCTGTAACATAAAATTGATAATCTTATTGATGGAATGGACATTTTTAATAAACACCACCGAGACGAAGTCGTTATTCTATAAATTTTAATTCAAGTCACGTAAATTTATTTTCTTGTAATTTAACAAGTTTTTCCGCATTATTGTGATTTATTTTGTTACAATTTCCAAAATAGATTGTTTACTATTCTGCCATTCTGTATATGAATAACCCATTAGCATATAATTATAATGCGTGCATTTATTCTTATCTCCTCTACTGTTGGCACTAGCTGCTACTTACTTGCACAAATACTGATTATGCAAACACGCATAAACATACAGAAAAGCGCAGTAAAAGCCAGCAACCGCGACACAATCGGTTTCCACACAAGTAGGTTAAAGAAAGCTATCTTTGGAAAAGTTAATAAACGCGTCTATAAATAACCGGCGATGAAAACTCGGGCGGTTTCACGGCTCGATTGCAACACTGCGCGCTATTAGGTATACGTTGCCAATGGCAATACGCTTAATTTAAAATTAATTTGAGCGGCATTAACATCACAATTGGATAACAATTGTTATCAACAATTATAATTTTACAGACATTTGTAATGTCTAAATTTAAAAATTTGCAACTTGTTTATTAAATGGATCCACTGACGTATAATCGTAATTTTTGATTTAATATTGTATAACCATAACACTAAACTCAGTAACATTAAAATACGGTAGCAGTAAATAGTGTGTAGTTGAAGGTGAGTCAGTCTTATCGTGTGATGTATTGATAGTAATAATTTATTCCAATCGAAGCTACACAAACAAACTATTTTTAAATCATCGCATGAATATCGAAATGTGATATTACTACATACTTGAAAATTGAATAATTAAAACTTGTTAGTTCAGTTTTTCCAATCCAGTGCTATTATGAGTTTATTTTGTTCATTTATGAATAAGTCATTTAATAAAACGCGAAAAACATTTGCATGCAAATTGAATAATTTAATCATACAGATTAGTAGCTGTTTTAATTGTTTTATTATTGTCATGCACATTTTGTTTTCGCTTGTGCAGTTTTATTCACGCTATGTGATCATCACATCATGCTTATGTTAATTGTTTAAACACGAAAATTAGGCAAGCAGCGGAAAATTACTTCTCAAGGTATTTTCCTATTCTATGTTTCCACTATTGTTTAAATCTTCGAAACTTGTGCAAATAAAACATTTGCGTGTGACAAAAAAATCATTATTTAATTGATTGTTTCAATACGTTACAATACGTGTTAGTATGCACTGTGAATCACATTTAATAATATCGTCAAAAAACAACATCAGTGGAAACCTTTTGCTGTTAATTCGTAGAAGTAATTTGTTTCAACAGCAGACATTACAATCACTATCGTCGATTTGATTGTCTCATAATAACAGGCTGTTAGTGGAGTATATTGGCATTGGCATTGTGTTCGTCAATTAAACAACTCTTCTTGGATTTGACACATTAAGCACGCATTGATTTATTAAATTATTTAAAATATAAATCGTTTTTATTCGCCGGGACAATCGAAATAGACTCATGGACGTCCGAAAATTAACACGACACAAAATGTCATACTAATTGCTTATAACTTATAAACTTATAAAAGTTATAATAACATCTTGTGTATAATGGATATAATGAATATTATGAATCTATGCGTTTAGCTTGTGGCTATTGGTTTGTTGGCTATGTGTCGATTGAGACATTTGATTGATGTGTATTTGTTCTGGTCGATATTGATAGTCACGGATCTGCGAGCGCTGTGTTGTGCGTGAGCATTAATTGGAGACCTTTATATTTTCGGTCGTGTAATGATTTATAACAAAAACAACGAAGCTCTAATATCATGGCTGTCGCAAGATGTGTGCGAATATGGTGGTAGTAGTATATATCAACAGTATAATGAGTGTATTCTTAACTGCTCAGTATACAAATTATTTTTATTGATGTTGGAGTTTGATAAACAATATCGAACATTTTCAGTATCGGGGTCATATGGCCGCTGAGTGAATGCAAAGGTCTTTCGACGTTTCGAGATTAAGGAGGCGAACATAAATCAAGGCATTTGATATTTGTTCACTCCTTTCGGTGATAATACGTATCAATTCTAGATAGTGGATGTATGTTATTTAAACTATACAACAAGTCTACTTATACGCAATGTTATGTAATGTTATATTTGTTAAGCAGGCACGTAGGTACTTTTTAAAAGTGAAAATAGAATAATATTGTGAATGTAAAATGAAAATTCCTGGAATGCCAAATAAAATCTATCCTATTAGTTGTTAAATGTTTAAAAACAAAAAGTTAATTATAACAAAACAGATATTTTCAATTTCTTTTAAGACTTCGACTCTTATTATGTTCAATTTATTTTGTGATTAGTTAATTAAATCTTTAAAACAATTATTTTTTTGATAAATATTCCAATTTAATTTACATTTAAAAGATGTATAAGATTTTTAAAAGTAATCAAAAATTCAAGTTTAAAATATTGAGTAATAAATTAATTAAGTTATGAATGGAAATAATTTAGTGTGTAATAAGTCGCAAATTTTAGTTTTTAATGTCTGATAGTAGTTGCCGTTTACAGTTCGCTGGCACTGCGGCATTACCTAAGCGTCTTTTTTAAATCTACAACTGTGGCACGGCGCTTAGGTAAGGCGTACGTGAGACTTTGCAGCTATTTTGTGAAAGTATTCGCGTTCATGCCAGTGAACGCAGTCTGTTGCAGCAGATCGTAATTTTACACAATATTACAATACGAAAATTAACTCACATAAAAAATATTCATGAAAGATTACTTTAAAATGGCGCGTTAAGTACTAGTGCGCATGCGCAGTAGGTAAAACTCATTTACGTATTTTCGAATACTTAGAGTTAAGAATGTATTAGCGGCACTTGGAGAATGTGGACGTCGTCTTGCTTGGTTGATAGTGTCGGGAAGTGTTGTGCGTCCCGCCGCAAGCCGCGTGAGCGAAGCTGCGGCCGCGGTCGCAGCGAGTCGCGGGCGCAACAAGTCGCGAGAGTCGCGAGCGCGTTTGTTCGGCGAGGTTAGTGCACCGTCGATCGCTCCAACGCGAGAGGCTTTACTTTAGTATCCTGCACGCCGTCGTCGAGAAAAGCCGACCGCAACTTGGCTCGACTTAAGTCTGATTGCATTTCCATTCGCTGCGCATACTTTCGCAAATAATTTTAAATCAAATACAATTTCCGGTGTTGTGCGAAATTAATTAAAATTTGGCCAAGGCGTGTTTAGGAGAGAAAGAGAACAAAATTGCTACACAAAAAAAATCAGTGCGCGTGTGTGCCCATTTCCTCAGACAAGTAGAAAATTGTCGAACGATATATATTTACCGCAAGACATCGCGCGACTCGCCGTCCGCGGTCGGTGGCATCGCGCATTCTGTACGCGTGAAAGTTTTTCGAATGCGCACGGGCCTCACGGTTGCGCTCGCTGCTGCTGGTCTAGGATCGAAAATAATGTCCTGCAACGAGTCGACGACTCGCCGCCGTTAAAAGCCAATTGCACAATTCCCGCGTGCGCGGCTGGCCATTTTGTGCCTGTTTGACCGTAATTATCAATTCGAAAGAAAGAGACGCACGCGTACGCACGCCTGCATTACTCAACGCAACGCAAGTAAACCGGAAGTGGGGACCTAAAGTTACGCGTACTCGTATTATGTGCACACGATGAATTCGGAAGTGCTGCACGTCGTCCACGAAAAGGATCCGTGGATTGTTGAAGAGGAACCGGCATGGTTTGTTGTTGAACAAGAAGTGGCGATTACCGCCGATGGTGGCGGCATTCACGACAAGAAAGCTCGACGTAAATCATGGCATGCCATCAAGTTTGAACGGAAACGTAAAAAGGGTGTCGTTGAGTCTTCCACACCGCCGGAAGCACGCCAAAAACGTCCTTCTTGGTGGAATATTTTTGCTAATCAACAATGGCCTAGGTAATTTTTTTTCAAACCTCAAATATTTAAACTATATATACATTGTAAATGAAATGCAAATTAAAGTACTGTTTTGCTAGACTAGTCGCGTTGTTGTCTGACTGGTTGTGTAAAAGTTACCGCTTGTAAGAAAATGTTAGTTTAGGTCATCGAAAGTGTTGACCGGAAGTCGAGCGCCGAAATTGTTTTATTTGTCGCTTTCTGAAGAAGATTAGTTGGCGACCTCCAGTAACTCAACAACGTACAGGAACTTAGGAACTAATCTAACACAAATATATTTGAATATTTAATGAATGTAAAATGTGAATACCAACCAACTGGAATCTTCGCGATTTATGCACAAATATTATTTGTCAATCATAATCATTCTTAAAGCAGGGTCATTTGTGTTCGACTTGACGCTTCACGGGAAATCCTTAATGAGTTTTTTTGAATTTTGTGGGATTTGCACAACTTGCGGATAGCGTCATCACAAAACAAGTAAACAGTTTTTCAACCGTGCAGATAATTAGTCCTGGAAACTTGGAAATACTCATCTACAAAAGCAGAATTTTTCTTGATATGATTCACGATTTGATTAATGATAAATTCATACTTGAAATTCATAATTCATATTCAAATCTGGGCTTACAATTAGATTTGCAAATATTGCTCTCAATAACATTTCAACCCAGCAAGATTAATATTTTGTAGGATGCATCCTTGAGCAAAAAAATTAATGTTATAATTCTCCACCTTCTGACACTGTAGATGTAGACTATGACTACAGTGGAATAAAAATCGCAGGGGCGTTACAAGATTTATCTTCATCGCTTATCTAAGCGATTAATCAACCTTTAAAGTGTTAAAGTATCAAATGGCATTTCATTGACGGACGACAAAGGCATTTAATTTGCGATTTTATTTATTTATTATTCGTTCTTGGGCTAGCTATGTTAATTTTTTAATAACCACTTACAACGCGCACCCGTGCATTACCATAATAATAGCACCCATTTAAAAAGCGGACGAATTCGCAACCTCACAATAACAACAATCAAGAGTTGAATACGAACAAGAACTACTATTATTTTGAATATAGATTAAGAGTGACTTACACATGTCATGAATTTGAGCGCGCCGTTTATTTTTATGTATCACATGCTAAAATAATTTGCGTGCCGTGTTCATTGATTATTTAGTTTCTTGCCCACGCCTCACGACGCACGGAATTAATTCATAACACAACAACACGCCGAATGCGGATTGATATTTAAATTTAAAGTTCCTGTTAAAATAGTGGCAATTATTAAGTAAATAACGTGCGTTTCCTTATCAAGAATGGAGTTGGGCCACTTTCAAAATTAACAGCCAGATTCATTATAAAATTTGAAGATGCCCAAGTCCATTCAACATAATTTAAGATGTTTCAAATTGAAGAAAAAAAACGTCTTCGTTTCACAGACAGCTTCGTGAAGTAATACATTTTGTTTGTTAAAATCTGCCAAACCCCAAAACTTCTCAAAAATATTCTTTCTTTCTTCTTCATTATAATTTTTTGTGCACGCATTCCGACAACCACAATCTTTGTTTTCGAAATTTTTTTCATGAACAATACTTCCGGTTTAACTGTAATATCTTTTTCCTGAATTCCGTTTTATCTTTCGCACTTTTTGGATATATGGTGCATCAATCTTTTCTCCATTGTTATTTGAATCTTCATCCTCTGACGAGGAATATTGTTTTATAACTCTTTTTCTTATTCGCTTTTTTTATTTAGCTTGGTAATATTTTCGTTCCTGGCGAATTATAGAGCCGCAAGCAAATGGTGAGTTATTCACTTTTAACCGTAATGCGCACTTGGTACACGGACGCTTTCGGTCTTAATTAAGCGAGAACATTTGTCATTCGGCTCGTGGCTTATTTATTTGAATAATGTGGCGACAGCCGTCTTTTACTCTTTTTCTATTTAGTGTGGTCGTTATGGTAATATCGATTTTTAAAAGTTTAATTTATTGTTGATTTCTGCTGAAAAACATTCTTAAAATTCATACGAATAAACTATAACATTAAAATTCCGTCTATGCTTAATACTCACTTCAAATTTAAATTTATTTCAATTAAAATTAAACTAATAATCTACGTGTTTCCCTGAAAACAAAATTTATGCATGTATTTTATGTTTTTTTCATTTTCTTGAAGTTAATTTATGATAATACGATTAGCATCGTATCTCATTTTTCATCGCACGTGTGCACCCAATTAAAACAAAATTAAAATAAAAATCGAACGTATTTGCGATCTTAAATTTCCATTCGCGCATAATCTCGCATGTTATGAAATTAAGTGATACGTACTTAACATACTTAAATGTTATATTTAATTATATAAAATAAACACACAACTTTCAGCCGCGTATCGAACGACATATAAATATTAAGGTTAAGACCCCTGCACTTATAATAAACATGAAAAATTAATCACCATCAAAAATGTTTCGTCTGCAGCGATGATCTTAAAGTTCACGACCGCGTCATACAAACTGACCACACGATTTATTTCCATTCGAGTGTCGCAAACGTTTGTATCTGACATCTGACGCTTTTCGGCATATTTAGTACTAAATTATTGCCGTATAAATAAATTATAATCACTGGTTGTGAGTTGTGATTCGGGGTTCCTTATGGGTGGGACCGCGTGCGCAAGACAGGACCTATTAACCTGCGTTGATTTATTATCGAGTTAATGTCGATACAGGTTCATAAAGAAACTGCAATTGTCGGAATCATATTTATGTTTCAAGTACGAGTTAATAAAATTTGGCAGTGTACGTGAATGTGAATATTCATGTTGATTTTTAATATGCACCGGTTTTATGAAATTAAATTAAATTTCAGTTTTCAATTTGCTTTGACTCCACGAGCGCGCACCGAGCATGAAATGAAACAATAATGTCGTCTGGCATGCGCGAAAATAAATAATAAAAACGATTCATCAACGCGTGCGCATGTACAACGTTATTCTCCGTGTAACACTTTTCGTGCATAATTTATTACAGCCGGGTTCCGTAAATAATCAAGCTGCATCACGGCGTGCAGCGATTTCGTTTTATTGCATTGCGTTACATTTTATCTGCGTCGAATAACCTAAATTTTATAACAGGGCCCCGCCAAGTTTCACAAAGATTATATTTTCATTAAAAAGTAATTATATTAAGTGTATAATATATTAAAGTAATATTATATTGGAAATATTAGTTTTTTTTTTGCAAAATACTGCAAATAATTGCAAAATTATTCTTATACAGCGTTACAGTTATAAAAATTTATTATTTACGTGTTTATATTTATATTTGAGAAAATCTAAGTATGCTTTCAAAATTATTCAAAAATAAAACATGTCTTGGGCGGAAAAGTTTTATTTTTATTTTTTGATTCTGGTCCAAGTTGTACACGCGCCACCGAAATCACAACAAACCTACATTCGAATAGTCTGATCCGTCATTAGCAAGTTTCCGATTGTTTTATTTTTAAATTTACATTCGGTGTATTTTCTTTTATTTCATGCGACATTTAACACATATAGTTAAACGCACGTAATTTTGCATGCATTGACATTTTCTTGATTTAAGTTTCACCATTTTGGCCGATTTAAAGTATGCGAAAAACAATTACGACCGAAACACGAGGTGGGTTTAATACTTTTTTTATTACCACCATGAACAATGCATAATAGATTTTATTTTATTTGAAGCTATAAACGATTATAAAAGAAACGCGCTGGCTTAAACCTTGCGCGACATTATCGCATTGTCAATTTTATGAAATTGTAGCAAACACTCACGCATTCAGCGCGAAAAATGTCGCAAATTTATTTTGCATTTTTCGAGGTTAGTGCGATAAAAAATAAAACGGTGAAAGTACTTTTCAGAAAAATTGCGTATTATATGTAAATTGAAATACTTAGACATAATAAATGTCAGACACATGCGAATTTGCGATATTTGTGACCATATGAATCATTTGAGATATTGTCGCTTGCGTCCGTTTTCGGAAACTAGTTGAACGGATTTATGTGTCGGTTTTACTTATGAGAGAGATTATTTATCAAGGTTTTACTTAGTTTTGCCAATAGTTTAAGCATGCAGATGGAACATTCGATTAGTTGATTTTATCATAAATCTACCGCGATATTTCCAACTGATTTAAATTATTACTAATACTTTTGCTAATGTATCTAGTTAAAGATTAGGATCTTATGATTTTGATAGATATTGAGCAAGCTGTTACTGCTTTTATCAACTTTGTAGTGAGGTTCTAAACAGTGACAATGCAAATTTAGATAAGCGAAGTCTCGAGAATTATCTAATTTTAGAAAAGGCTTTTTAATTATATAATTATCTATTATTTTAGATTTATTTTCAAGTGTACTTCACAAATTGGGAATTTACAATGTTTTTTTATATAAATGCAATCGAAAAGTATGATTATATATTTGAATATATTTAATATAGCTTTTGCCCGCGACTTTGTCCCGGTAGTATTTAATTAAAATGTAATTCGTTTTTACTCTCTTGTTCTAGACATAGTATGTGTCAATTCTATCAATAATATTCACAATTTTATTTTAAAGAAATTAATTATAAAAAGAATTTTTAATAATGCACTTCAGCGCGCCATCTCGGGTTCAACTATTTAACTATAACTATGATTGAATTTCAATGCCAACTTTTATCCTATAGAAAAGGGCTGTTATTAGGGTTTTCCCGGCAATTATTCGAATTTTGCTTGCCGTTAAAACCATCCTTGGACTTTGACGAACATTAAAAAAAAAGGAATTGGTCAAATTGGTCTAGGCGTTGTTGAGTTATGCGCTTACCAACAGATTTTGCGATTTATTTTTATATTATAGATTAAATGTAGTTTTAGGTTTAAGGTTTATTGAGCATAAGTTAAACGTAAACTACAACCGTTTATAATTGAATTTATATCTACAATTATCAAAAAAGTAGCCCACTTGCGTCAAAACGAGAAGTCGTTAAAGATTTATTCATCGAAGCATCGAACAGCAATTACAACCACGCTGCTCATAAATACAGGCATATAAAAATGATAGCCGTTTGCTTTCGGCCATACGCGCACTATATCTTGGCTTATAGCATTATAGGCTATTCAAGTGTGTTCTAAAAATAATCATTGTTTACATGCCTACCGTGCCTTCGCTTTTCTTTGTGCCACTAGCCGAAAGCGAGACATAAAACGCTAAATATACGACCAATTGTTGCGTAGTTGTTTTCATACACGCATTCGGCATGAACGATGAGCGAGCGGCAATTGCGGCCTACCGTCGCCAGTCGGTCGCTATTTTTACCCACAAAACAAGGCGCACACAAACACAAAGACACACAAAAATACTTGTGGATAACGGCGAAACTGCCCAGCTTTGTTTACATATTTATGCGTCTCTATATTCATTAATGCGCCGATACGCTCGATGAGTAATAAATTGACGTCGCGAATGAAGTAATGCGCGCTGCATTCACCAACATGAATTGAGCATTTGCGTAAGAAGTTAATTAGACTTATACTTTAATATTTTATTACAGCATTACAAGTCAACAAGTTGTATAATGTTAGATATTTTAAATATGCAGGAAATACAACTAGTACATCAAGTAAATGTATTTTGTAATAATTTAAACAGTTTGAAAATTCAGAATGTATTTGTTTTTGTCATCAAATATGAAAATATTGCACGTGAATAATTAATTTGTATTGTGCAGTGTACTCAGGTGCAAAATAAACACAACGCTCGTGCTCGTCACGCAGTTTATGACATAATCGAATGCGATTATAATCGGCGCACTGTTTTCACTGTTTTGCGTTTGCATTGTCGATATGATTGCTGGCATTTTGTCACAACGATTGTGAAATGTGTGACGGGGACAATATGCGATAATTTTGTTTGCATTCGAAATTGCACCTTTTCTCACATTGCTGCGCTGAAATTTGCATTTGTAAACTCAAATTGCTGCATACAAAACGACGTAATTACTTTATTTTCTTAATTTTATGTTTGGTTTAATGAAACGGCAGGTGGTCGTTTGGAACGATAAAAAAATTAACTTGACATTGTGATAATATGTTTACATTAGAACACGATTGAAAAAAATTTGATTCCCTGTCGTGCCACGCAACTTTGCTATGTAGTAGCAAACAAAGTTGATAAAAAGGCCAGCGACTAATGATCAGCTTTAACTTTTTAACCATTGCTCGACTGTAATGTCATGCGTTTCGTGTCTGTCATTGAATAATTTATAGTATACTCAAACGCACAGACTCGTCGCACACGTTCCGCTTGTTTGTGCTATGCGTAGGCAAATCCAATTAAACGAAATCGTCGCCTGCGTATCACCTGCCCGCACCTCATTAGAATAAACGTGCGTGCGTGCGTTACGAATGCGCGGACAGTTGTAGCTATTTGTCTATTTCACACCGCAGGACGACGTGCAACCTCGTATTGCCTTTGAGATGGAATATTTATAATCTGATTTGTATTTGTCAACCGTTTTTATTTTCTGCCATGTTTGTTTTGCTTTATTTTTTCATACATTTTCCATATTTGTCCACGCTTGTTTTGGTTTTCGTTTAGCGCGTATTATTATTCGCTGAACGAATGTAATGCGCTTGAAATATTCGTGATTTGCGCTTAATTGTTTATTCGTTCTTATCTTAAGCACGTGGGGGGACAAGACGCTAAGCAAACCCACTGAAATAAATTAACGTCAAGGTCAAATCATTAAATTAAGCTTCATTGTTATTGTTGCGACGCGTTTAAAACTGAGAGCACTCAGTTCATAAATTAGGAAGAGCCCAAAATACAAGTCATAAAATCACGTATTGTTTAAATTATTCGAAAGATGTTAAAAACAGGTAATTAGATGCAATGCAGTCAAAATAATATTTACATTTTTATACTGTAATTTATTGCCAATAAAATTAATTTTTTATTACCAACATTAATATTAATCAACAATAGCATATAAATAAATTTAAAAAAAGATAAAACTTCAAGTTTTTGAAGTTAAATTTATTTGAACAATATTTTACGAATTATAGTACTCAGATTATTTATAAATCTCATTAATATTAACCCCGCTAGACGATAGCACGATAACAATGAGGAAACGCATCTCGAAACTTGATTATCTCTACATAATAAAACAAAGCAGGCCTGTGATATATGCTTCCGCATTTCGTTTTTGTACCAAGTCTATTATTAACTATTTATTACATATTAATTAAATGATCGAGCGTTTATGTGCCTATGAATGTTGATATGCACGGTACTACATAGATAGATTTATGTTTGGAATGTAGTCCCGTTCGGTCCTCTTTTTGTGCGCGAAGTCGACTTGATAATTCCGCTTCTGCTTTTCATCCCGCATTCATTATTATCAGCATGTTCAGTATGCGTTTGATGCGCAGACAGGAATACCAGATGACACGGACAAAATCGAACGCTGAATATTCAGCGCGAGCAACAGGATATTTTATCAAGCACGCCGAACGAATATGAATCGAAGAGGAGAGCTTCGCAAGCGTGTGTGCGGGGGCTTTGTTCTGCGGAATGAAATATATTGGCATACATTTGATGCGACATTCGTGAAATAAACAACACGCTGTTCGCGGTGTATTGAAATCAATTTTCAATTTCAATCAGTTCGCCTGCGGGCGGCAACAGCGCAGTTGGAATGAAAAAGATGGCGAGATTATGTAGAAATTCGTTTTCAGCCAATCTGTAATAATAATTGAATTTATGACGCTGGCACAACTTTTACATTTTGATTTTACAAATAGGCAATTTTATTGTTTGTAGTTACAGTGTAAGACTTATGTTTAGGCGTATAAAGCGTTTAATCTAAAAAAAATAGCAAAAAATTAATTTCGCTATCCACCTTAATTTTTACATACATAGAGGGCGTTGTCTGGTTTTTATTTTTTAGGAAGAGTTGGGTTTTAAGAAGTTAGGTTATAAATTTTATTTTTATGGTTATATTAGAAGTATATGTTGAAGACCTTGTGTAAGCATACAATTTACAATTATTTCACAATTTTCACCGCGAACTATGTTAATGCATTGTTATTTTAGATTTTCGTCCTTTATTTATATTTTGTTTTACTTGAAGGTCACGCCGAGCTTCTCAAGATGTTGGTCCGGTAACCAAAAATCACAACGAATTTCCATGGACTAGGTGAGCCCATCTGACTCAGCCTGGGTTAACATCTAATAAAACTAATCAATGTTGCGTCTGTGTATCGTACAACTAACAATCAACTAGTATAAAGTATTATATGCTCTAACAATATTAACGACCTTGCATGCCGAGAACATCATCATTCTCTACGATTCGATCGGTGCGCATCGTTCGACAATTTGTTCGACGTTTTGCAGCAAAACGTGTGTTCATGCAATGCAAAACTAGCACGTACACGCGACCAAAGCTCAATAACTCAATAACATTCACACGGTTATGGTGTTTATCATTCGCTTGGCGGAATAAAATGATATGAAAAAAATGTGTCTAACGATGTATTGTTCGCACGTTCTAACAAGCAAATTTTACATGATGTTGAAAATGTTTCTGCGTTTTTACGCCTCTTTAAAGTTAATCTCATGTTTGTCTAAACTTACATCTTATCCGTATAATGATTTGTTTTAATTATTTGTTTAAGTTTGTTTGTTAACTAACTATTTAACTACTTTTCACACATACTACATGTGCGATTTTAACGAGATAATAAAATATTATAGCCATCAGGTAATAATTATTTATTGGTTGTTTTCAGGAGTAAAAGCAGGAGTGTGGACCACGGCATTACTTCGCCATTTGATTTGGAGGCGTTGAGGGCCAAAGTCGATGGACAGTTGGATAAATCATTGAGCAAAGGTTAGTTATTTCATTACAAACTCAAGAAAATGTTGAAATCGCATTTTATGCAACCAAATGCGCATGTCGTAACCATGGAAACATGAAAAGTTCAGAGGTGAACGTTGGATGATTTATGGTCGATTATTGGAACATTTTATGCATTCAGATATTTAATATCTATGAACTTTCACCTTCAAGAGCCAATTTGACATCAACAAAATGTTAGTAGATTATTAAGATCTTAATATAATTGAAAACGATCAAATCCAATATCGTACAATTAAATAACAGGCGCGCACGCCATTAGTACTTAGTTTAATTATCGTTACTCACGAGAATTAATATTTATTACCCATGAAACGTAGCAACTTCTTACCTACGCTAATTGGAAACAAATTTAATTCGATTGCGGTAATCACGCGCGAGTTTATTAATAGCTTTTTCAAACGACGCTATTTTTAGCGGCGTCCCGCGTGTTTCGAGCACTATATTAATTGCTGGCTTAATCATTCTAACGTCAACGAGTACTGGATGTGGACGCCACTGCTGGAAGCGACTTTTAGGCATGTGCCAATTTGCTACTGTTCAAGTTTTGCGCAGGTGCGTTCAATTAAGAACTGACTGACAGACAAAACAGACGAAGTAAAAAAGTTAAGCAATTTGTGTGTGCATATTGAAAACGCGAGAATATCCAATTAAAGAATATTATTAAACCGCCCCGCGGGCGTTTCATTCGCGACGAATATCAATTATATCGTGATATATCTTGTTAGCCGATTTATTTACATTTCGTTGGTCGTCGGGCTGAATGGAAACCGGAATATGTGCGCTATGCTACACTATTAGCCGTGTTACAACATTGAAACGACATTAAAATTCGCTGCAGCGGATATTGCACATTTGCCTCCCGGGTTTCTATTTCGGCGCAAAATGGGATGTGTTGGAGGTTTTATACGTGGTGGTGTCGCAGCGATTCGAATTTCTGAACGCATGCAGCGAAATTAAATTAGATCTAATTTGGTGTATTGGACTGCCGCCTCAGTTGATACATTATAATCTGAAATGTTATTTGCAGTGTGATGTTAGTCTTTTTTATTGTTTTTTATTTATCTATATGGCAAATTAATCCATGCAGAATGTCAAAGATGAAAAATTCACACAACACAAATATAATTCACTAATTTAAAATCTAGCAATTCCAAACATTACATTTTGCACTCCATTAAAGCGTAAATATTATGAATATACGTGCCAAATTAACACGTAAAGTCGAACACTTTGTTACTTTTTATTTTCGTTGTAAGTTAATCTTTCATGGCATCATATAATTTCAACATTTCTGTAACACATTTGCTGCTTTCATCTTCTCAAAGTCGCAGTTAAAAATTTTAACTACCCGTGGCAGTCTGTTACACGTGTTTACGTAAACCCAAAGTAATCTCAAACGGCGCATTTTTGCTTCCAAATCCGTGGCGAGCTCTTTTAAAGTACATTTGTGGATGCGTTGGTACAATGCCAAGCAATATATTACCGCCATGAGCGCCCACTCCAAATAAACCCGTGTTTTATGCATGGCATAAATTTTCCATAAAACTACATAATGTACGAACCGCCTCCGAAAACAACAGACGCATTGCCACGCACGCGTTATGCGATGCGTTGTGCGTAATTGAGTAATTATATTTTTATTGCGATCGATTCGGATCGATACCCAATTATGGGCATAACCGCAGTTGTGGCGTCGCCCATGTCCATGTACCTTGTTGTTGTCCCGCGGCTGGATGCTGCTTCGTTACGATTACGTTAATATTAATTGCGTTTTAAACATTCATGCAATTTTGGCTTTATTCACTTTTTGTAGGAATTGTGAGCTGTTATCGATTTATGGAGCGCGACGGTCAAAACGTGACGTGTTCGTTTCATAATAATAGCTTTTGATCGAACCAACTAGAAATATTGAGTGAAGTAAAAGTGATTTCAGGTTTTTGAGGTCGCGTTAATATTATATTCAATACGATATCAAATATATTCGATACGAAAAGCCTCCCGATTTTAAAAAGTTTCCGTGCCATTAATTTTCAAATAGTAAAGTTTATTTTCTGTCCATAACATTGCAAAGTTTTTTTTTCTCATGTGTCCCTTTGAACACAATTTTCGTAATATAAAATGTTGGTTTGCACGATCGCTATCGATTTTCATGAGATTTGATGATATAGTTAAATATTTATTTACCTGGCCCGATAATGAAATAATAATGGGACCTATTGAATTATGAAGTTACAATAAGCTTCTGTATTTATGTATTAAATCTTGCGAGTGCCTCAATTTGGCATCGAATTGCCCGTATATGTTCACGATGAGAATGTTTGGTTGCCTATCTGAATATGAATATAACATTCAACCGGTGATTCTGTGGTCGTTAATTAAACAATTAATAATCGGCGAATATTTGAATAAATCGTGGTTGCGTTGCACCATATTAGATCAGCTGTAAAGATGAATCATTTATGACATTGTCAGTTTACAATCTTGCTTGCAATTGGTTTGAAGGCAATTTGGCCGTTGAAATAGAACAAGTTTAACACTTCACAAAGTTGCGAAATTTAATCTAGGATATCAAAGTTTAACAACCCTAAAATTATTTCTTTAGCTTCGGTGTTATACCTAAAGTTCAAAATAAATGTTTCTTCACTTCACTACTTTTGAGTTTCCTGTTTGTGTACCTCGTTCTCCAGCGTTGAGATGGCGCGCTATGTACTGGTCCTTGATAAATTTTCACATATGCCTATAATATTTTCAGCAATTTGTTTGGTAGTTTTAAAATATGTTATGTTCTAAAATGCTTAACAATTTTAAGTAAATATTGTATATTTGCATTTATAATTTTTTCGAGAAACGTTGAAATACAAATTTATGTCCGATTAAAACAACTTTTAGTGAATTATTTTTGCATAATACAATCACAATGAATTATTAAATTACAAAGCTAGTGGTTGCGAAGTTGTAGGACGTTGCTCTAGATTAATTAGTTGTGTTGTTCCTCTGTGGTACCGTTAAAATATACACTGGGCATTTTAAAACGACTTTTATTTTTAAGAAATGTTGGGCCAAATTCGAAACATTAGCTAATCAGAATGATATAATACCAATAAGGATCTAACTGATCAGATCAAATATGATGACTAGTATAGTATAGTTTATGATCTAATTAAATAATTAAAAATTGATGATAATCTTGAACAAATTGGCTAAATAAGTTTAGATACTTTTAAAACAACCATTTGAAGTTGCTTGACGCCTCGGTATATTCAGAGTTCTGCAGGTCGTAAATTCATGCGCCATGGCCTTGAAACAAACGATTCCATTCATTCCAGCGCGCAGTGACTCATGAGGTTATATTATTTAGTCGCTGAATCCGCTGTCATCGAACAAGTAGTTTTGTTGTGATTGTGCCTCTCGGCCTGCGCATCTCCGCTGCAGGCGCCGATCGCGATCGATATGTTTACACGTGATCAACTGATAACACGCTAAGCAGCTGGCGAAAATGAACTTCGTCGACGACTATTACGATAGAGTCGGCAAGATTAACATCGACGCGGACGAATTCGACTTTGTTTTGTGCGATGCGGACGGCCTTCCGTCGCGGAGAGGTTAGACTCGCCGATGTTTCCAGTTTTTGTATAACCTGCTCCTGCAAACGCCAATTGTACACGTTTATTATACCTATGCACATTTGAAATGTTTTAAAGTGTATATTTCATATGTGTTGTTTGAAATTGTAGATGCTGATGGCTCCAGCAATAGCCTTGCAGAGAAGAAGAGAACTGGACCCCCTGAGAATACTACAACATATATAGTAAGTGTAATAATTGACTTTTTGAATTCATTGCCTATTATGGAATTGTATGTTGCAATCATATGTAACATAAGTGCCACTCTACTTACATAAGTGATAGTCAAATAAAATGTTTGACTCTTTCTATTGCTAGCAATAAAAGAATGTAATAAAATGATCTTATCACTTTCAGGTTGCTGATAGAGATACACTGACTTCATTGGCTGCTAGATTTGATACTACTCCATCAGAACTGACCAAATTGAATCGTTTAGGCACTCCATACATTTTCCCTGGGCAACAATTGTTTGTACCTGTCCGCGTCCCAGTTGATAATGATTCAGACGCATCCACACCTATTGAAGAGTCACATGATGAGCTCCCAGCTGATGAGAAAGGTGAATTGATATATTAAATTAATATCTTGCACTTTTAATATCCACTAAAGATGTCACACTATAAACTGTTCAGATGTTAGTCATAGCCAACTTAGAGTGAGCTAGCATTGCAGTGTCAGTGTAGACACATTTTGGAATTGAAATTTGTGGTTTAACACTGACGAGGCATGTATAAATAGACAGTGAGAGAATTTTGAGTGCGCAGCGTGCACAAATATGTCGCGAGGCGGGAGCACTTTTACGTCGCAGGCGATAAGAGAGAGAATCAAATAAGTGGCGGTATTTACTTTTTCAATACATGCCAGAATCGCGGTATTGTACATTATCAGACAGTCGAGCGCGGACAAAATAATTTATGGTGTTTGATATAGCTGCGATTGCAAATTCGCGGCATTTCACAAGATGAAAATCAGATGTGCTAGCATTGTTTTACGGGTGCCATGTTTGGGTTAACATTTTTTCAGAGTGAGTTTTGACGTTCTTGTTTTAAAACGTGGCTAATACAAATTGGGCGCATATTTTCCGCATTGCATTGTGCCGTGCCTTATTAGCAACTCTGTTTGTTTGTTATGTGACATAGTGTTAACACGTTGCGTTAGACACGCCGTGCTGCTATATTGTGATGTGTTGTTATCAGTGCGAAATTATAAGTGTGGCACTCAACGCATATTGTTTGTTTCTAGAGCTCCTCGACAATCTGCGACCGGTAAGCCCCAAGCCAGGCCATGTGGAGCGAATACGGACGCCTTCCGGCCCGACTGACATCATCGCTGAGGAGGAATCAGCAATCTACAAGCGTTTTCTCAAGATCAACGTACGACATATCACTGATGGACAGGGCGTTGTATCTGGCGTGTTGTTGGTTACGCCAAACGCGGTTATGTTTGACCCCAACGTGTCCGACCCACTCGTTATCGAGCATGGTCCGGAGGCGTATGGCGTTATCGCACCGATGGAATTTGTTGTTAACGCCGCCATTTACAACGATATTGCTCACATGAGAGTGGGCCATATCGAACAGAGCGGTGGCGACAAACCCGAAATATACTATCCTAAAAATGAGAAGAGCACCACTGATTCCTTGCTGGTTAAGGATGAAACCTTTCCCGAGCTGGGTATGTTTGCTAAAATTAATTTTTCTAATCCTGAAGAATGTTTTTAATTTCTATTTGTGTGTTTTAGTCACCGCGGATGATGCAGAATCAATTTGTTCCTGCACTGAGCGCGAGGGTGACGCATTTCCAAAGGCATTCGAGCGTGATCTTGTCACGCCGACCAATCTGGACGATTCGGAAAACCTGACAGTGCAACGTACTGCTGAGGAGCGACGCAAATCGTTACTCGACCACCACTGGGCAATTCCTTCGCGCGACCGAGCTTCTATGGACACGGACGAGCTGTTGCCCTTGTCCGCATCTCCAGCGCCTCCCAGTAACAACGACGAGGACGAAGACAGCCTGACGAAGCAGAGCTGCCACGATTCAGGCATTGACATCCGGGACACCAGCATGCCTCCGGTCGTCGCTATGCCGACGAAGAAAGTGAGTAGTTTTACGCCGATTGCGTATTTAGTAATCGTATAATTAATGATAATACTAACTGATTTTTGTTTTTATTTTCTAACTTAAAAATTTCCACGCATGAATAGCCTTTAACTCAGGTAATTAGCAACTCATTAGTTGGCGTAAATTGTTACTTTCATTTTGGGATTTCTTCTATTTTAATAGGTATACAGTGATGCGGATGTTATTTTATCAAATGATTGGGTACCACCGCTCACAATAGCGCCAACACACGTGACCAATACGGAGTCTACGGATAGTCCCGGACGCAAAAAAACTAATTCGGTTTCGTTCAGTTTGGACTCCAGCTCTGAGGCAGATCAGAGTTCCGCTTGTCTCTCTAGCAGTGCCACTGATAAAGACGAGCTTGATAAAGGAGGAGAAAGTCGGAAGAATAAAGTATGTACATAAATATTTTAATTCAGATTTTGGAAAATTAAAGTTTGATTTTGTGTAGATGTTGAAACGACTGTCATATCCTCTCTCCTGGATGGAGACGTTGGCAGGCGAAGGCAGCAAGGACGAACCAGAAAAAACGCCGCATCCTCATTCGGCTGACGTACATCACTCATCGTCAGTCTTCTCAAAAGTCTTTTCTAGGTAAGCACAATTTTGCTTATTTGGCAAAATTCTGTATCTCATGCAATAATGACGATGCATGCTTTTTTCGAAGGAGCACTTACTGCTTATTCTATTAACAAGTTGCGAATAGTGGCAGCAAGGAATTGCGTACACTTTTAACTCTCCTTGCTGCACCTATGTGACTAATCATAATCTATATAATCCATGAATTGCATTCGCAACGCATTCAGTTCGCCAATCAACTTGGTGGATTTTGGTACTGGTCTATTCTTGAGCAAAACACCCTCCGAGGAGAGCGGTGGATCGGGCGGGCCGCACTCCGGCGGCAGCGGAGGTCCGCCGATGACGCCGGCGACCGCCGCCACCGACTCTCCACACACGGACTCCTCTAGCTTCTTTCCGACTAACATAATAAGCTCGATGGGTGCCAGCGTCGGCGCTATGGGTGCTCAGGTAGGGGCCTCGGTCGGCGCGACCGTCGGTGCTGTCGGCGAGGCGGTCGGCGCTTCGGTGAATGCCGTCGGAGGCGCCGTCAACGCTGTTGGTGCCACTGTTGGTGCCGTGGGGTATGTTCATCAGTGTTGGTCGTACACTACCACACCCGACCGCGTACACACTCGCGAAACCCCTCGAATGCTTGGTGTCGCCCTGCAACCAGCAAAAAATAAACACATCTTCATTCTCACAGCTTGCACCTGACTAACCAAAACACTCACACCAAAGCAATGTCTAACGTTCGTCAGCACACCTGTTTATGTTTAATATGCTTGTCGTCCTTAGATTAACACACGTCTCACTGACACTAACTTTTCGTGGACTATGCAAAAAACACAAGAACCGCTTTGCGGCATCAGGTAATGAACGTATTACCTGACGCTTAACAGCCTTAGCTCTAATCTGGTTTACAAATATCGTGTCACTTAAACACTAATGTGAATAATATTGCAGGCGTTCATCGGTGGGGACCTTTATCAGGCAGCCGACGGAGAGTGGCAGCAAGGGTTCCAAGGCGCCGCCACCGAAATTAGATTACAGGTCAATGGTATCAGTAGATGACATGCCCGAGTTGTTTGTCTCGTTTGAAAGTAAGTTATAAATCAAAACATGGCTTCTGTAGTTTAACCTCAAGTTAATCTAAAATACAGGTTTCCGAATAATTTAATACTGATAAAACAAAAACCAAATTATTTAAACATTATCATTCGACATTGGCATTTTAGAACGAATAATAGTTGTGCTTACACAGCACCGGCTGAAAACCGTAGAACTTTTGTAGTTGGATCCATAGTTTTACATTCTTAGTGTTGTTATAATTCATCTTGAGAGTTCAATTTGTGGTTATAGAAATATCGTTTTTTTCGTAATTGGGCTGGATAATTGGCCACACTAAAAATAAGTGATGCATCACGTGGAAATCGCTTATTTATGTGCAAATTAAGTTTGATGAGAATCAAATTACACTTGAACCGTTTATATCTACGACCACAAGTTGTTAAATGAATTTTAGAATGAACTGCGTTGAGAGTGTTTATTCATTCAAATTCGGTTTGTTTTTTGCAACTAAACATATAAGAATCAGAAAAACAAACTGAATTAAATAAATCATTTCCATTTTAATGATTGTGAGTAATTTATCTGTTATGGCAGTGCGTTCGCCGCACTTTGGGCTTGGCCAGCTGGGTAGGTGTAGTTCATATATGCTTCTGCACCGCATGCGTTTTTTACTCTGATGTTTTTATCTATTTTTAATTATAATTATGCTGCCTGCGAATCGTTCGTTTTCATAGTGTTTTTTTTTATCATCTATACTACATACAGTTTAAAACAACAAATGCGTTTTTCTATTTTATGATTGAGGACTGACTGCAAATATGTTTAACTTATTAATGGCAGTGATGTTTGATTATTTTTTCGAAATAATATGAGAATGCGAAAATTTGCGCGCGTGGCAAATTTATTAAGTAAGTTTTTGTTGTAGAATTGATTCCAAGGCCAGCAAGGTCGTGTGAGGACCCGCCGCTATATCTTCGTTTGCGAATGGGCAAGCCCATAGACAAGCCGATTCCGCGCTCAACGCCGCTGATGTCCTACGGCAAGAAACGGATGCGGCCAGAATATTGGTTTAGCGTGCCGAAAAACAAGGTCGACGAACTCTTCAATTTCGTACAGGCCTGGGTTCCGTATTTATACGGCGAATTAAACGAGGAGCATGTACGTGTTTGCCAACTGAGCGATAATGGGAGTATAGAATGTTTTTATTTTGGTTTACAGGTACGTGGTAGGGGTTTCTCGCTGGTGGAACCCGACACAGAACTGTGGAGCGACGAGCCAACACCGTCGGCCAGCCGGCACGGCAGCCAGGATGGCGAAATCACCGAACTTACCAAAGAAAGTTGGGAGGTAAGCCTTGTTTCATTTTCGACAATTCATTTCATTTGCGAGCAACATGTAATATTATACGCGCTATCATAAAGAGAATATGAAATCAAATCACCGATGTTGCCAACGGGTTGTTTACAAACTTTTTGAATGGCAAGGTCAACGAGTGCGGAGCGCACATTTTGTAAACAAAGGAACGAGATCTTTTCAACGAACTTTTTTTCTGGCGGGACGCGATTGATTTTGACTGCAAATGTGATTTAGCAACAAGTATGTAACGTTCATAAATATCTATTCATTCCGTGTGCTTGTGTGTGGGTGCAGCTGATCAAGGCGCCATACGTTAAGATCTACAGCATCATCAAGACGCAGACGATGTCGGCGGATGGGAACGATGAGGTGACCTATGCACGTCACAAAACCAAACAAAAAACACGCCAAACTAAAATGTTGTTGTACCAAGTCGTGTTTATGCCTTCTTTACCCGCCCTGCCTGCCTCACTCGACTACTTCTCTCACTCCTTTAGTTGTTATCAAACCGAAACTTCCGACCACTGTCCCTCGAACTGCGAGGGCAGAGGCAGCGCACACCAAAAACCGTAGTTGAATTCTGCTTTCATTTAGTATGTGGCTATGTTAGCATTCCTTCTATGTTAGAATACTAGCGATGTAAATATTACTGTCTGGGCCGTCCATGCGCAATTCTCTCAAGACGAGGCCAAGACACACACTTGTGTTATCAAAGGTTATAATTGGAATGTGGTAGGAACACATTATTCGTTGTAACTTTTTTTGCGCCTGAGCACAGTACGAGTTTGATGTTTTTGGACATTGGCTATTACGTAAATTGGCACACGCTGGTATGGGGCGCACCTTAGTTATTTCATACGCGTATTTCTCTCATTTCCGAACTGCAGCCAGCATACAACAACTACAACATTTACATGATGCAATTTGCTAAACCAGTTTAAAACAATTTTACAATGATACATGCGGAGCGTATCTTTTGGAGTCGAACTTGTTTTAATCGACACACGAGCATAGCTGTTCAAAACATACAGACGAACTAAAATAGAAGGTATAAATAGACGAGCATTTGGCGATTCCACCTCGGCGGTAACGCGTAGTTTGAATCTTTGGTATTTGTGCCCGGGCGTTCATTAAAAATTCAAATTTATCAACTTCGGCGTATTAGCATATTAAACAGTTAATTCGATCACGTATGAACAAACACTCTCGAATATCTCGAGAGACGCATCGCGAATATAAACACAAGTAAGGGAACAAGTTTTGTAGTCGGACGGTTCAGTATAGCGTACACCAACAGTTGGTCGGCAGTGAATCGCTTATTTATTAAATACGTGCGTTTGTTGTGAGCCAACACAGTGCGGATTTACAGTCTACGTATATGTTATACAATTACTGTGATTACTTCGTTTGAAAAAAATCACTCAATTGTTTGCATAGAAAAAAAAAAACAATAAACGCGCTTTTGCGCTGTGCCGAATCGCGACTGTCAACAAAATTAACTTTACTTGATGTGGCAACGAGTGCGTTGATTATGAAAAGCGGACGTATTTAATTGAAGTGGGACCAGCCGAAACTTGCTGCTGACATTCAGAACTGCGTACAACACTTTCCACTGCTACAATCGACATGAATTTCGTAAGGAGATTGAAAGTTCATGACATTTCGGCGAACACATACATAAATCATAATACTTCATTCCTCGCATCTACCTTTTAGCTGTGTATGTGATTGATGAATCAATGATTCAATCAATCGGAATGATTCTATAGACATAGACTACATGTGCTTTTATGTTACGCTCACATATATTTTCTGTGGATGGAATGTGGGATTAATCTTGATTGTGCTTAGGTGTTACCCATGTCCGAAGAGTTTCGGCGTGCGCTGTATGCGTCTGCCAATCCACCCCTGGACGTTGAGCTTACCCCACCGGATCTCGTTGGAAATACCGAGGTACTCACCTATGAGCACCGAGAGTCACTATGTAAACATTTGCCGGCACGCGCCGAGGGCTATGTTTGGACCCTGGTATTCAGCACTAGTTCCCACGGCTTCTCGTTGAATTCGATGTATAGGAAGATGCACAAATTAGAATCGCCCATACTACTTGTGATTCAAGATACAGACAATAACGTGAGTACATTTACCTCAACAAACTGTTAGCGCTTATGTTGAAACAATCTCCACTGTTGACGCTAATTAAATATTGTTTGTCGCAGGTATTTGGTGCTTTAACATCTTGCGCATTGCAAGTTTCTGATCACTTTTACGGTACTGGAGAATCGTTGTTATTCAGATTCAGCCCAGAGTTTCAAGTGTACAACTGGACCGGTGAGAATCTGTATTTCATCAAGGGAAACAACGAGAGCTTGAGTATCGGCGCTGGAGATGGCAAGTTCGGTTTGTGGTTGGATGGCGATTTATATCAGGGCAGGTCCGAGTCATGCAAGACTTATGGCAATGATCCGCTCACCCCAAACGTAGACTTCGTCGTGAAGACTTTGGAATGTTGGGCATTCGTTTAAAGTAATTTATAATTCCTGATAGCTGAACGCTAAGTGTGGCAATCTGGTAAGGGCAGGTATACGACATCAAAACGTCACAAAGCCGTTTGACATAAAAGAAATCAATGCGATCAATGGACGCTGGGCTGCATTGTGTTAGTTTGTTGGGGCGTTTGCTGTCTCACGCAAATTGAATTGATCAAACAAACGCTTTATTATTTATTGTTATAAATTTGTTATGAATACAAAATCAGCAACACAATTGATACAATTGCTTATACTTATAGTCATTGTCGATACGTTCACTTAGTGTTTTGGCGGTTAAAATTGTGAGGCGGGGTGAGGCGACTTGATGAGTGAACGCTCTTAGATTATCGATAAAATTGTTGCGTAGGACTAATCATCTGGTCAAATAATAATTGAAAATATAAAAATAGTCATTCTATGTTGCTTCTTGCTTACAACGAATGACCACACTAGGAAACAAGCTCCCTTTATTTATTGTTAGCTCTCAGCCCGGAGATTGTGTTGTAGCAATTTGCCGTACGAAGAAAGGCTGTAGTGTCTGTCGTGTCAATTAGATGCGTAGTTATAACGCATATCAGTTGTCAATTTCAAGATAAAACCTAACAAAGCAAACACGGACTGTGGGGGAGATTGAATTACAACATACACAAATGATACAAATTTGAAACCTTTATGCAGGGCATTGGCTACAAAGAGTTACATACTTACATATGTAGTTAAGAAGGTAGGTTTAATGTAAGGCAGGTGGTGATAGCGTACAGTGCAGTTTGCTTGATCACTGTGGGAAAATTGATTAGAAAATATTTATTTTTGCATGTTGATGCCACATCATTCACCAATTAATGTTTTGTGATATTTGAATTGGCTCCGCGCGACCCGTGTGTCTACACACCTACAATTAGCATAACGGATAAGCTATATTTAAAGTGTTATTGCAGATCAGACGTTGTTAAAGTAAAAAAAAAAAGTGATGTTATCTCATTCGCAAACCAACAACTGTACGTTATGTGATAGATGTTGATGTAGATGCCCTGTAATGTACATGTTTAGAGGCTGTTATGCGGTTCGAAAATTTCTCCATGCGACATGATTGAATGTATTCTGAGCAAGTTCTGCTGATGGAATGATGAACCAATTAGAATTAACAATACTATTTAAACAAAAATACATACCATCATAAACTATGTATATCGAAAATTGCATTAAAATAGAACTAAATATTAATGCATAAATAACAAATTAAATGTATATTTTTTGTAATGTAATGTAACGTTCGAGCGCTTGTTCTTTGCGAATGATGAAATGTGGAGAGATGGAGAACCGTAAATATTTATTAGGAATTAGGTTGATGTCTATAAGTTGTGTACTATAACGTTTATCTAGTTATCTATCTGTATAAATATTGTATATAATGATGATTATTAATCAAAGAGGTGTTTTCTTTATTGGAGAAAAGCAGATCATCAGGAACATTTTTAATTTTATAGAATGTTCTCATTTAATATTTTTATTGATATTTCAGT